ACGTTGCCCTCTGGCCTACGAAGCCATCACCTCTGTTAAAAAGGTCCTTCTTTATAAACAAGCCTCTCCATGCCTATTAAACAGACAGTACATTAAGTCTGAGCCGTGCAGAAGAATATAAACACAGCCGTCTGAGGGTACAAACGCAGAGGAGAGGGGCTGGGATGTGAAGAGACTGGAGATAGGGGCTATTTCTGTGTTTTCCTGGGAGTGGACTCCATCACTGCTCTTCTCTCCCACTGTAATCCACTCTAAACTAAACACAGGAAGGAAGAGATAGGTAAATAACTGGATCCTCTGATAAAACTAACTTTTTTTTACAACAATGCATATTCCTCATGTATCAGATGGCCTATTACTACTTCAAAGTACCAACACAGTCTTCATGTTGAGTATGTCCTGTATAGTATAATATATATGATAATGAGGCATACGCTAAGATAAGGCAAACCAGAGGTACACGGCAAAGACGGCCGGTTAAGAAAAGACAGCACAACAGTGATAAAAGATGAGAGACGGAGAGGCAGCTTTGTTGAGAGGCAGACACAAGTTGATCCTAAACCTCCTGGGGTTCATCCTGTGAGTGGCCCTGTATCGCCCCAGGCTCAAGGAGACTACAGAGAAGAATCACTGAGGCTGCAGAGCCGAGGAAGGAGGGAAACATGGTTGAGAAAGCGGATGGTTGGAGAGACGGTCAGTCCAGGTCAGTCTAGATGTAAAGCTGTTAAACAGTAGGGAAGTGTAGGAGGTCAGTGCTGGACATCTAAGGGCAGCGCCCCAGAGTCATTCACACCCCTTTGTTACAAGCTGCAAAATCTTCCCCCCTACGTGGAGAACAAGGCAAGGCAGAGGTGGTGAATAAGGGGGTAATGTATGGGATGTGGGGGGACAGAGACCATACCTCAGGGAAGGGCCAATTACAGGCTTAAAGTCCCGCTGATTGTCTGTGGCATGCGACTCAGATAAGATGCGTCTACTTGGGTCAAACATCAACATTTTCCCCTCTATCAGCCTGACATGGGTTTTATCGTCAGGATCCTGACATACTGCAGGTCAGCATGTTTGAACGTCAACAGGTCACTTTGTGTCCGGGAGGGCGCCGAGGGATGAAGGTGAAAGGTCGTATGTCATTATCTCAGGGGTCAATGGACAACACATAATGTTTGGCAAACACAAATACTAGATGAATATTTTACAGTATAAATACAACATGACCCTGCATCAGATACAGTATTGGACACATTTATTTATTCATTTTTTTTACTGCTATGTGAAGTTGAATAAGAATAAGTCTGCAATTTATATGTGGAGTATGAAGAGTTTTTGATTACAATTTGTTTTTTTAACTTGCAAAACACACAAAGTATAAACTAATATTGGAGATGTTAACTAAAACAAAACAGATGTTGAGCACAGACAGAGATAAGGACCAGGATGTGAGACAGGGACATAATTATTCTGGAGTAGTTTTCTGTCTGAGCTGCTGTGACTAGTAATAACTTGAAAGTTGAATGTTTGCAGAGGCATGCCCTGGTAATCCCAGAGGAGGAGAGCAGCATGCTGCTGGGTGAGGGGTTAGCTACTCTGCACCGCAGCGCTGGCCTCAATACAATGTTCAACTACAATGTTTACATGTACATTTTTAAAATTCTGATAATATTTTTTTTAAAAAAAGTTATACTTTTTACTTGTTTTCCAACTTTTATTTTGTGCGACCTCTAATGGATAAATGTCTGGATGTTCTTTCCAGCTTTGGCATTTGGAAGCTTATGTTGTTTTTCTCGGTGGACTCATCAGAGTTCCAGTCTATTTCTGAATGAAATGTGTTTTCTACACAAAATTGATAACGACAAAGGAAATCAACATCAGTCTCATCTTCAGGTATGTTTTAATGGGCATCACATAAGCCCCACTGAATATATATGCGGAGTAATCACAATTGCAATTTATCATGATTAATCATCATTAATCAAGGTAAACTGTCATGCCTAAATACGTCAAGAAAAATATGCAGCATAACTCAAAATCCTTCCCACACTGCATGTAAATAATAACATTTGTATCAAATGTTTCGGGTCATTCTGCCCCTGCATTAAAACTTTTAATCAGATTAATCTTCAAAAATGATTTCATTTGATTAATTTATAGATTTCAACAGCCCTAATATCATCATATATACTGGCAAGCAGCAGATTTGTAGGAAGTAATGAACTGAGGAACTGCCTTTCAAAAAGCAGCTGCTCCTTCTTCAGGAAATATATGGCTTACATTTTATATTCATAATATGCAGATTCGTACAGCCTGCTCTTAAAAAAAAACAGACCTACTCCCTGCAAAACGTACGACAGCATAGAAGCCTCATCCGAGTAAAGGCTGCATTTGGATATTTTCCCACTCAGGGTTTGTAAAATAGGATTGTAAGCCACTGCTCCATTTCTTTGAAATACAGTAGTAGTAAGCCCATGGGACTTCGAGCTCAGAAACATAGTGGTATAAAATACAACACCAACCGAGGACTCAGACGTCACTCAGATGTCACTGAGTAGCATTTAAACTTATAATTATATTACCAAGGTGTCAAGGTGTCAAGGCCAAGACAGTGAAAAACAATGAACAATGAAATAAACAGTGGCAGTAAACAACAGACAGAGTCTGTGGTGGAGGCTGCTCCATCTTAATATGCAAACCGTTTACCAGTTACCACGGTGATTGAACAAACTCCAACACCTTTCTCTGCTCTGTCCTAACTTCTTTGAAATGTGATGCTATTTTCTGTATTAGTTTATGTTCATCGTATTAAAAGTTTTTCTCCCTGTTATTTAAAGGTTTTTACAAAGTACCAAACTTGCAGTTTGTGAAGTATACTAGTCAGGTCTATGCAATAACAAAAAAATAAAAAATCAAATGATGTGAATATTACGGACACATCTGAAAGAGCTGCACAGACGTTGTGTACATGCTGGCTTCAGTGAGGCAGAGGCTCTGTCTGGGCGGCTAATGAGAAGGTAGGGCAGTCAGACTGTGATTCTGTGATGTTCTGGGAAGTGGTGAAAGAGGGAGTCTGTTGAATGTTGTCTGGGCCACACCAGCACTAACCATGGAGCACCCACACACTGTAACTGCGGGCTGGAGCCTGACCAACACTACTCAATCTGTCCCTTTCAGATGAAAACCCAGCAACATGCAGAGCAGCTAGGGTAGCGGGGAGGGGGCGGGGATGGGGGTGGGGGTTGGGGGTATGTACCGGTAGGGTGGTAGTGCCAGCTAAGAAGATATGTAGCCACCTCACATAAATACAAGTGCTATGTTTAAGTGGCAATATATCCAACTGGACTTTTACACTGCACACATTTATATTACAGTGAAACTAATATGTCAACTTCTATTAACCACATTTACTGCTTCAATCCTACAAACCACCCAGCCACACTACACAGCTAAGATGTTTAAGATGCTAATGAAATAATACATATTAAATATTGTTTATTCTAACAACTCATAGAGACAGAACGGTGTATAAGGAAGGTTCCTGAACTCACTGGCCTTTTAGCAGAGCATCTGCCCACTGTGCACAAATGACCAGTCATCCTGAAAGAACTCAAATTGTCCACTAGGGATGAATCTGCCAGCTCTGGCCATTTGTACCCACAGCAGCCCTCACACACTCAGGCAGAGCAAACACAGCCCTCACCAGCAGATAGAGCTAAAAAGGCATCCAATTCAGAATTTCATGTAGTTAATTCCTCTCCCAACAAACTGGGCCAAAAGAAAACCCCTGTATTGAAATCAAATAAACACAGGCAGTGCAGAGCACACTCAATGTATTTGCTTTAATATTTCATTAAAAACAAAGGGAAGTTTTGATTGCAAACACCAGCTCTCACAAAATGCTCAATATCTGATTATGAGCTCAGACTTTGTGAGGAATGTAACCACTGAATCTAAATCTAAGCTAAAGTGTTTTCTGATGTTATTATTAACAAAGTCATTCTTAGTTTATTCAGAACAATATATAAAAGATACTTAAAATAAAAAAATAAAATTAAACTTAATGGATCGGTATGGATGACAACCTAGAGACTGAAGCTAACCTCTGTCCAGTACAGTCTCTGCCTTCATTTAATAAACCAGCAATAATCCCAGCTGAGGTCCGAAGATTATTAGCTCGTTTTAAAATTCCATTTAGGCGTGCAGAGCTGCAAGCCTGTTTAATATTTTCATTATTTACTATGAAAAGAGCCTAAATAACTCTGCTGTGCTACTGCCCACTTTACAGAAAGGACATCAGGAATAGAGGAATGTAAAATATTTTAAAGTTGTTTAAAGTAAAACAGGGTTTGGCCTGAGCCACAGATTAAATTTAACGCCTTTGGACCAGATCAGGACACTATGTACAGCTCTTAACATGTTGGAGTCCAAATCCCACACCTTGTTCAAAGTCAAACTGACATGTACTGTATATCAACCTCTGTAAACTCAACCCCCTCCATAGTCCAAATATCAGGATGGAAACTTGACATTTTGCTGTGTTTACTGCATCTAAATGTTTTCCTAACAAACACAACCTTGACCTTGTTTATGAAGTTGAGGAATCTGCATTTTTTCCTCTCTCAGTCAGTCCAACGAAACCTACTGACCACCGTGTAGAAAACCACAAGAATTTCATTACCTGCACAGTATTGGCTATAAAATATTTACAGAAGGAAACAAAGTGGAAAAAAATATCAGGATAATTACTAGTTGCCCGTAATCCTACCATTTACCATTTTGATGCTGTGAGTGAGCCAGTGTTTGTGGTATAGTTCAATTTGCATTAAAAAATATATGAAATAAAATATGGAAAAGTGTAAATATGACATGTTATTTGCAGTAAAATGGCTCATATATATATATATATATATATATATTGATATTTTTTCTTTGTTATTGCGGAGACTTTTACATTGCAGTTGCGATAATAAATATAGAAAGTCACTTAATTCAACTGGATCAGCACAGACCTGCAGCAGGAGCCGTTCGAAAGCCAGGCAAGAATCCCAACGGGGGAGGTTAGGGTGACGAAGTGTCTGGGCAGTGGCCAAAGCCAGCTGGAGTACCCCACAATGATTCTCTAGTGCCCCCCAACTGTTACGGAACGGTGAAATATAGGAGCACAGCTGCTCAGGTGTCACCCGACCTGTAAAGACAGAAGAAGAGTGCTCAGATTTGTTATTAAATCAACAACATATCACCATAGGGACACACTGTAGGCTATCATGTGAACATATGACATATTGTTCCACTTGACTACTCAATCAACAGGGATTTTCTTTGGTGAATTGGCATGAGACTAAGTCCCTGAATATATTGAGGAACAGACGGGCACATGTGTGAGCAAAGAGCTGCTGTTGCTGTGATACACTGATGGATGCTGCACTCACTACTGGCCCAGTGGCTCCACACCCACTAAACAGAGTTTGAAGTAAAAAAAAAAGTGAAAGTCAAGGATTAAAAAAAATCAATCAGAAAAAAACCTCTTAAGAGTGTAATTTGTGTATAGTCAGAATGTCGTGTTTTTTTCCTTCTGGGGTGGAAGCTCCAGATTGTATCTGCCTGAGTGAAGCAGGTACAGGTGACGCTGTGATACTCTGAATGGACTGATCAGAGTGAGAGGAACACAAGTAGAAGCAGCAGTAGATACTTTAATCTCTGCCTTAATAGTGTTTTCCTCTCTTTTGATTTAAAAAACAAAATAGCATCTAAAAAAACACATTTTGAAAAGACTGTCACACACAAAACACATCTAGACCCACAAAAAGTACGCACATGCACAGCACACCCACTCACACCCCAACAGCTACCCAACCAAACATGAATAAGCACATGTTATTTATTCATTGCAATTTATTGTGCAACATGGGAATATTGGGAACGAACTGTAAGACACTGGGAAGTTTTACTGTTTCCTTTCACATTTGAGTGTATGTGTATGTGTGTGTTTTGTGAAACCAGCCAAGGGGGCATCTTCAGGCCAATTTTCAGAGAGGGGGAGAAAGACCGACAGGTTGAGAGAGGCCAGGACTGATCTTCCACATATGGCACAGATGTAACAGCATTAAAAAGATGAGCGACCCTTTTGTTGATTATTTATAGATGCAGCATACAAAGGCTAAACTCACACCATCGAGAGTCACGGCCACCGCTGCACTGATCTTCCCATGAAGATTCACAGAGACACAGGAAGAGAGACAGGGAAGGGGGGGTGTTGGGGCAGAAAAGCCTGGAGGGGGGGGCATATGATGGCCTGAAGGTAAGAGGGTCTGTGTCAGGGCCAGGGATGGTGAGAGGGCACACTAACTCCTCATAAAGATTACTTCTTCATGTTGATGCTATGAACCAACACCAGATGTGGGAGTATTTCCTGTTGGACTACATGGCAGTGTTTTCTTTATCGAGGCCAAACACATGACTGGAAGAGAAAAAGAAGAGAGGCAGGATAAGAAATAAAAAAGACGAGTTCAAAAAGTCGCCGAATACCAAAACAAGACAAAGTAGAGACAGAGAATGTAAAAATAGCGAATGATAAAAGAAATCTAGGTTTGAAATTGTCTTCATAGGAAGTTAGTAACAATAATAACAGCAGCTGTTAAGTAAACCTGACAGCAACGGGGATTCCGGCGAGTCTATCTGTCGGAAAAAATACTTTCCAAAGTGAGCTTAAAGACTAAGTGTATTGTGTGGAATTTTTGGGGCAAAAGAGAACAAATGTGTATCAAGTGGAATCAGGTTTCTAGCTAAAATTATTTAGCATTTTCAAAGAATAAGCTTCAGAGCAGTCATTTTTAAAATCCTGAAAAGCTTTATTGTTAACATATCCAGCTATAAAAACTCCAGGCAGTAGAATCATGGATCACTGAGCTTCAATTGCCAACCATAATTTAGCACAGAACCAGGAAATATGCCCACGGTCGGTGCCAAGCATAAGGCTGCCCGAGAAAAAGCAGTGAAAAAAACAGCTATAACCAGAGTTTACAGTGAGCGCCAGGCTGGACGACATTTTAAAAGAAAGGACAAAGACAAGGTAGTGAAAAAGGATCTTTCACGAAAACATGTTCCCAATTACAGTCAAAAAGCCCTGGTTGAGCGTACACTCTTATCTATGTCACAAAAGTTGCCTGAAAAAGTTCTGTGATTCCTCAAACATCTTGGTGACAGATGCAAAATGGATCTGGAGTCAGAAGATCAGTCAGCTGAACTCTGCTTTTTGTGTTCCTGGACGTACAGGCAGAACTGAAAGGTAATAACTCTCGGAGAGTAATAAATAAAAATACACACGTAAGAAGAGACCGCATTTCAACTCCAGATTTCTATATTTCAATTATTTGTGCTTTAAATCAAAATATGTTTACTCTAGCAGCTGCTTGAAGTCCTGATAGCCACAACTCACCACCTTAGAAGGTACAGAACCCTAAAAGTGAATCCTGGGCAAGGTTTCCCTCCAGGTACTTAATGCAGGAGGGGCAATAAAACATATCGCATATACTGTCCCAAGCTAAGACCACTTGAAGCTGCTACCCATTTCAGCCTGATGTGCAGAAGTGGCAACTGATGATTGGCCATGATCAAAGTCCTGCACTGGTCAACAGTGATTTGATTCTGTCACATGCATTCTACGTAGGTGCACGGGGTTATTCGGCGGCTAAGAGATGTCTGCTGTCAGCACAGACCTGAGTGGTGGCCTCGGCAGCTGGACAGACTCATAAGTAATTTTACATGGACGAGAGACACAGGCAGACTGAGGCACTTTTATTTATGCAGTCCAAAGAGGAAACTCCTGTAACTTTTGTTTGTGAATGCATGTTGGGACAGCACTGTAGAAGTCTGGGTAACTGGGAAAGATCGGTACTGTGTCACAGTGATCTTCAGTGTTCTAGTTTTCAATGTGTTTTGTGGTTAACGATTTTAGACCACATCCCTGCTGCTAATAATGCTTTAATTAACAAAATAATATTTCAACCTTAAGGATACAATTTAAATTCAAATTGCCCTATTAAAATTGTATTATACATATTTATAAATATACATGTCTATATATCCGTATATATGTACATATATCCATTTACATGTGAAACATGTATGACTTTTCCTCCCTGCTTTCGTACAGCAGCTGTGTCCAGTCCTGTGGTTTCAGTTTTCATCACAGGCTCAGTAACAAACCAGCCAATAAAACATTTCCACCAGTCCCATTGGATCATAACAGGCCATAGTAAATAACTACACTAATTACGTAGTATCAACAAAATTTGTAGTAGAATTATTTTGGGATGAGTGTCAGCGTGACTGGTCGTTTGTCTCAATATGTGGCCCTGTGATGGTCTGGTGTACGGTCCAGGGTGGATCCCGCCCTCACTGACTGCTGGGATTGTCTACTGCTCCCCCTGTGACCCTGAAGAAGCGTTAGAAGATGAATGAATTATTTTGTGCGGATCTCTTCTTCACGGGTCTCCACAGCTGACACTCTTTAAATAAGCACTGTTCCCACAGAATCCACGTTTGAGCTCTTTACCCAACTGCAGATTCTTGGATAGTTGTTGTAGGAGGTGTTCTTTATTTTCTAGAGATCCATTTTGTACATGACGAAATATTTTTAAATAAACAACACACTGACTTTCACTGCTGGTTGACTCAATTTACTGAAAAACTGTGGAGAAAGATTTACTCAGTGGTGTCAGCATATCATATACTATAAATACACAGCAGCTTTAGTTCCTTACTTTGCACAAACACAGAATGCACAGAAAAACGCAGCCACAGTCCACGCAGGTGGACAGAGAAAAATGCACGTGTATGTACGAGCCAACTAAAGACTTCTCAGAGATGATCTGCTAAGATAGAATATCCAACGTCAACAATATGTGGACTTTCTTTGCACAACTGTGTACACACTAATGACCCTTCTCTCTTTCACACACATACAACTTAATCAGTCAGGGGATTTCATCGTCCTATTGTGCGATGGGAAGCCAATGGATCATTCCCCGCCTCTGAGAAACTGGTTATTTTTCCAACTCTCTGGATGATTTTATCCTGTCGTAATGATAATAAAAGCCAAGCTGGGTTGGTGTGTATTTGGAAATCTACTTCAACAATACAGTATTTACTCTGCTGATCTGCATAAACCGACTGGAGTCAAAATGTAATTTGGAAAATTACCTCTCCCAGTGAGCGAATGGGTGCTGAGAGTATAATTAATACTCAGTATTTCTGCTGCTGGGTTGAGCCAGGCTTCAGGTGAGCGGAGGAAGATGAACTGACAACTCGGCTGGTCGTACTGGTGGGTAGGATGGCAACTGTGTGGGGGTGTGTTGGAAGCTCAGACAGCTTATGATGCCTGGTACTGTGCCAGCGGGGTGCTGTGGGTCAGTGTGTAAGGAGAGTGGGGAGCAAGGGGTGGGGAGCGACAGGTGGCAGCACCTTCTTTCACCACTGTTTTCTCTATTTCTCTTTCTCAGCAAAGACACTAAGTCAACAGACCGTCACTCAGCACAGACATCAACTTCATTAGCACACCTCCTCTATCCTTTCTCACTTCTCCAGTCAATCCAGTTTCCCCCTCTCCTCTAATTCAACCACAGCCTCTGGTCCTGGATTAGTTTCTAGTCATCCAGAATTAGGAATG